ACGGGGGGCACCACGTGAAGGCCGGGTTGTCGTTTGATAGTTGAGAGGCTTTGCAATAAGCGTTGCAATGTATATTTGTCGCGATTTGTCACCACTTCCCATAGTGTTGTCCAGAGAATTGTTTATGTAGTTACCAGAGTCAAGATTGAAATAAAGGACACATAAAAGGACTGAATAAAGCCAACATAAACCACAAAAATAGCCAGAAAAGTATATTCTTTTGCAAGTGGAGTCTGTGACCAAGATGTTCAGACCTAGGCTTCTTGTTACAGTAAAAAGCACACGCTTAGTCCCCCAAACCCTCTTTTTATTTCAAAGGCTGTGAATTATGTTCATTTACAGCCCGTAATGAGTCCCAAATAGTTTTTAAAAGTCCTACAGTAAGCTGCCAAAGTCTTTCGGGATAAGGTTGACAAGCAGCCGCCTTTATCTTCCTTGAAGCGCTGCCAAAGACTGAATTGGCAATTAGCTTGGCAAGGTCACATGGAGCAAAGAGTCAAAATGGAGTTTCAGAAGGTAAACTGACCAGAATGAACTAAGTTGCTTCCTGCAAAGGCTCACGTGCCTTTGCTCCTCCTTTATGTCTTATGGGAGGGGCCAATCACCTCTAAGCCTTACTCCCAGGTCATTTCTTCTGTCTTAACTGTTCTTGCCTTCTGGCAGCTCTGTGCATGGGTGCACTGGATACAGGGGGAGCCACATTCCTCTTCCTTGCTGCTTTCTGACTATGGATGCTCCACAGGCAGCATAACAACTCCCAGATGGCCCTGGCCCTCTCTCTGCCTCCGACACAGAGCCCTCGTCCGAGCCTTCCCCAGACTCTAGGACTGGCTCAGGTTCCTCCCAAACCTCCTCTCTGTCTGACGCTGCTGCCAGCTTCTCAGGTTACCGGAAGACCACAACACAAGACAAACAATCTATACAAACATTTATAATCAGAAGTTCTTTAGAAATGAGTCAAATTCACTTCCTGAAAATACTTTTATCTGAGCAACAATAGATATCTGCAGAATTAAAGGTTGAAACAAAGTGATTTTTCAAAGTGATGAAAAAAAATCCATATTGTCTTTCCTTCCTTCTAGAATACAGCAATTGCACCATTACTAACGATAATGTATTATGCATATCAAATGCCTTATTTAAAAATGGCCTACAAAACATAATCTGATTTTCTGTTCTTTCTGATAAGTTATTGTAAAATGTTACAATCAATCAAGGATTGATTCACGTCAAACAACAGAAACATGCACAAATGTCTTCAACTATCAGTCTACTTGATTTTTTTTTTGGTTACCTATCAACCAAGAAAGTTTGCTTCTAAAGCTCCACTATTCCCCATAACTTGCTAGAACTGAAAGTATTTAAATAATTAGGTTATGCATTTCAGTATTGGATGTAACCAAGATGTCTTTCAACGCCTCCAAATTCAATTAATGAATGTAGCAGGCGTATCTGTTATTGAACTAGGGAGTAAAAGCATCTCAGGAACTTTTGTCAGCCTGTTGACTTAATATATACTAGCTGGTAACCTGGTGTAGCCCAGGTATATATTTATCCCAATCCTGTTATTAGAGGGAGCCCCCTTATGGAGTACTGACAAGCTGTTGCCATGGCAACGCACTGTGCTTACAGTAGAAGCCATTTTAAGGCACAACAGGCTGTATCTTAACAGAACTTGAATCCAAAATGCACACTATCAGTCAAAAGTACCGTGACTTGACACTATAGATATAATTCAGTCCTTTTCATTTCAGCGGCCCAGGCGTTTCAGAGTTATGCTAGAACACACACACACGGACCCCCCCCCCCCCCCCGAGAAATATATATATATATATATATATATATATATATATATATATATA